ACACTTCAATTTGAGACAGCTTAGACTCATTGTGCATGAAGAAATGGTCCTGCCCAGGAACCTCCCTGAGTTCCCTCGCACTGAACACCGAGATAAACGATTGCTTCAGCTTTCTGCTCTTGTCACACTGGCATTGGTTGCTTCGTGCACATTAACTCTGCTAAACTCCTGTTCCTCAATACAGGCATGGCAGTAATATGCATTTAGTCACTTCAGTTCACCCACTTTTCCCAAGACTTTGGGGAAAAGTTTACAAAGATGGTCAGAATGACGACAGACAGCATTTCAGTACAAATGACTAGCGAGAGATAGGGCCAGCAGAATTCTATTTTCTCCATACTAAAAGCTGGAAAATAGGATCACAAACTGTTAGGCAAATATTTACTCTCCCTGACATTAGTCCCCCATGCATCAGATATACTTCTGTTGATTTTGTGGCAGTCACAGGAGTACGCTTTAAGACATCTTTTACTCATCAGGAACAAGGCATAGTGAGCAAGAACATTCTTTACAACAAAGAAACAAAAAGCAAACAGATATTTTTTTCTAGGATTATTAAATAAAAGACAATACCTGAGAGAGGCAGCGCTGTAACCCTTTTTGGCAGCACCATTTAGCAGTTCTCTGACTATGACTGCTTGTATAAGACAGTACCATTCTCCTAAAAAGTCACATACAGTTCCTCAGAAGGTGCCTTACGCAACTTCAAAGCACTACATGTCCAAGTGCAGAAGCAATGGATTAAACAAAGGTAACCTTTATTTAGGTAGCGCTTCCAGTACAAATAGGCATGGTCTGAGAGCATCTCCTGCATGCTAGGTTATGATCTGAAATCTCCAACTGCTTCTGTGTGAGGGGAGAGTTCCAACTAATCCCAGGACCATCTACAGCTCCAAATAAAATGGCACAGCATGGTACAAAGGTCATTACTCCTTTCCTCCCTATTCTGAAGACATTCAGATTACACCTTTCCACACCTATTTTTACCTAGGTCATGAGGATTCACCCTCTTTTTCCATCCTGTTAACTCCTCTCCAGGTTTTCATCACCTGCTATCCTAATTTCTGCAATAGCCCATCTGACAACAGTATCATGCCTCTCCTTTCACCACAATCCCTTTCACTGAGTCCATTAAAAAGATCCATCAGTTAAGATGGACACCATCACATGTTGTTCCAGTCATACCATTCCTCTTTTACTCCCTTTCTACAAATCTCCCACTGCTTCTTGCCCTCAAAGACCTTCACTAATCAGTCTTTTCTCCCTACTCACTCCCCAAAAATGAATCCCATGATAGGGAGCTAAAAGGAAGGTAGTGTCATTTGACATGATGAGGGGAGATGATCTTCTGTTTCAGCAATGTTCAGCTTAAGCTGCTTGAGAGAAATGGTCTGGTGGACTGAAGGAAATGGCCTGTAGGATGCAGGCAGGCATGGGGAAGTACCAGAACTGGGTCAGTACTTGAACACAATCACTCCAAGGCAAGATGGTATGTTTGAATAGCAACCAGCCAGAGGATACTTGAAGACTAGATGAGATAATATTCAGGGAAGGAAATGCTGCTCATGTCCAGGAAATAAAAGCTTTTGCAGGAAAAGACAACAATTTTGAAAGAAGAGTTTTAGTTATCAGGAAGGGATTAGAGATCCTGAGACACTAAGATTTGGCCTCTCAGAGATTACTCGTTCAAATCCTCATCCTTGATGAGGATTAGCCAGGAGGTATGCCTAGCATTTTCTGCTTGGATATTGACATATATGAAGGGCCTTACTGTTCAACTCTAAAAACTTCCAACTGCCCTCTAAACTATGCACTCAGCAGACACCCCCAGTGACTCCAACAATCAGAAATGATTCAAAAAGTTGTTAGTTACAGAAACAAACAAAAAAAAATCCAGCCATCTCACAGTAGGAAACAAAAAGAACAGCTTTCTTTGGGGGTACATGACAGTTTATAGCAACTCAATGAGATGAAAACTTTCTCCCTTTGAGATGGAAGACTGTAGATTTGTTGTGGCATCATCTTAAACTGGGACTTGTAGTTTAAGATGATGCCAGAGAAACTCACATATAATATAGCCTAATATAGATATCACCAAAAAACCCTGTCATTAACCAGTTATTAGGTACAAAATCTTGAAGAGTCTTGCAAACCTCAGGCTTTCAAGACATCCTTGCCAGCAGAAGTCATCCGAGCTACAGGCTAGTCTGGGTGTGCACACTGCAATGTCCCATTTAGCATCCTCAGTTGCTGAAACAGTGTTGAATCTCTTCAGGCTGGGTGAGAGAAGGTGTCCCCAACTCTATATTTTGGCAGCTCTTGTGAAAGAAGAGGTATCTTAAGGTATCTTACTACAGGTTTAGTGGCAGCTGAAAGGAGCCTTGAGGCCTGGGCTGGCCCACAGTTAAATATACTCCAGACCATCCCCAAATCTCCCAGCAAAAAAAACAAACAGCTACCTGCTGACTTGGCCTAGGAAATGGAGGGTGGCTGGAAGCAATACGTGGAGCATCATTCAGCCATGTCAGCGTATACAAAAAGCGGTGCTCCATGACCATGCTTAGCCCCAGGGGACAGCGGATATTTGCTGTTATGACCACTGAGGGCTGCTCTTATGATTTGCTATACAAAAGCTGGGAACAAAAACACGCAGAGCACCCCTCCCTGAGAATCAGTGCAAAGGGTCAAACAGAACAACAGCCCCATATGCACGAGCATATGTGACAACTGCTCTTTCCCATATTCCATGCAGCACAAATAAGCAAACCCGGCTGGGGGCTGCAGGGAAAACAGGAGGCCAAAGAAATCATCCTGCAACTGGCAAACCAACAGCAGGAGCAGCAGCTGGGTACAACAACATCATCCTTTTATGTTCCACAAAGCCATGCCTGTGAAGACACAGACTTGCAGGACCCTGAAACTCAGCCATCCTCAGAGATGGGCCAACCTGCAACTACAAGAACTACCTACAAAGGACAGCAAATCCAAGCAGATAAACCACAGAAGGATGCCTTCAGGTGCACATGCAAAGATGTGCTCACTATACAGCCAATATCCCATATGTCCTTACATCAGCTGCTACCCAGTCTGCAAAACAGACTGATCAAAACTGTCACGGAGGCACCCACCTCACAAACACTGGGAAACAACTCCTGAAGGGTTTTATTTTTAAATTCTATATTACCAGATTAATAAAGTCAGACCAATAAATAAATAAACAAATAAATAAATAATAATAATAAATAAATTTAAAAAATATAAAAAAGATTAACTACACAAGGAAGTGGAGAGCCATCGGGCAAGGTTTACCACACTTCGTTGTGATGGAACAAAAAAAAAAAAAAAAAAAGAAACCACAACTACTTTGTTGCATCGCTGGGATCCAGCTAATCCTGGACACAGAACAGAGCTAATTGCTTCTTTCTCAAAGGAGACGTGATAAGGCAAGAAGAGGTGAGGAGAAGCCAATCAGCCTCTAAATACACTGCCATCTGCTAACAACCAGTCAAGTAGTGGCTTTAGCATTTGTTTGGAAGGCACTTTACCAGCCCCTCTCCCTAACAATAAGAACAGGTTTATGAACTGCCTCCCGGTGATGGGAGGGAGAGCGAAGAGGAGGAAAAAAGAAAAGGTAGTAAACGTGAGGATATGTTCAGTACCTAATGCTTTTCATAAGGAGCGCTTTGTATTTAAAACCCCTGAAATATAATGCATAACACTAGTGAAAATCTCATTGTTTTCCAGCAAGATTATGAGCTTACAAAAGAAGCTGGAGCAGTCCGTGAGGGCGGGTCGCTGATGTCCGTCAATGTGCAGGTGATAAACATTCATGGGGGAACTTATTCTGCATCTACCATTTGACCTTAAGGGGTCAACGAAGGACCCTCGCTGCGCTGCCAAGAGCTGGCTCAAGTAAATCACAGAGCTGGACTGACCGCATCTCTGGAAGAGAAACAATCAGAGCCTCTCTCTGCACTAAATATTAATGTCTAGGCAGACAAAAGCAGCACTAGGAATATCATAATAATATCGCCACCAGACACTCCGTATATTTCTTCGGGGCATCCATTCATCTTCGCCAGGAATATGCCTATTGTCCCACATTAAACTAATGGCTTGTTCTGAGGACCCAGTCCTGACGTTCCTCTGGGAATCACAGATGTTATTTATATTTTCAGTCACTTAAAAGGATTAAAGTGTGTTTATTCTCAGTAATCTCATTTGTAGAGGGAGAGATATACAGGCATCAGGAGTATGCGTTTTAACCCTGTTGGGAACAGCCAAATGCCAGGCTCTATTTCCAGCCAGCTCTTCCTTGGCTCTTCAGAATTTGGGATCTCTGCAACTCTCAGCAGCCCGGTGATTTTGGGATGGGACCTCTGCAATTGTCACTAGCCCGGCTACTTCCATTCAAACTAGCTAGGAATTGCATGTTGCAGGCACTCCTGACAAACTGCCACAGCAGCTCTGGTGACAGCAAGCTGTGCGTATAGCCAAGAGATCCAGCTGAAAATTAAACTGCATGTCAAGTAGCCCGATCAATATAATAATTGCTCCAGGCTGGAACAAATTACAGGCTCCGGCTGAAGACACCCGAGCAGAGCATCAGGCTGCACACGCTGTTATCCTGGCTTATGAGAAAATTCAGAAGCCGCCTTTATGAAACGGAAAACATGCCGAAGCACTCGGGGGCAGCACGGGGAGGCTGCAGCGCTCACCCAGTGGTCCGGGGGATGCTTTAGGGCTCGGGGAACATCTTGTGCGGTGACAGCCGCGTCCAGCGAGCTATGCACAAGCCGCCTGCTGCTGAGCTGCGCCTCCCGGTGACCGCAGGCTCTCGTTGCCCTCTCTTTGCTTCTCTGGTTTGCACGCCGGGTACCAAAAAGCTGCAGCCGGCTTCCAGCCGGGGGTACCCGGGGCCGCCCCCCGTCCGTTCCCCCCCGTTCCCATCCCGGGAGAGCTCCCCAGGGCCGGGGGTCCCGTCGGGGCTCGCTCCTTACCGGTGTCTTTGTCCTGCGCCGCTTCCAGGTGCAGATCGCTCAGGAGATGCTCCAAAATCTTCTCCGGCGTCCCCGCCACCACCACGTACCTGTCGGAAAGCAGAGAGTCCCCGGAGTCATCCTCGGTGGAGGACTGCGAGCGGCTGCTCCACTCGTCCTCCTCGTCCTCCTCGTCGATGTACTTGAAGTAGGGCACGTCGAAGGTGGGCAGCGGCCGCTCCCCCGCCAGCGCCTCGGGCACCCGCGCCCTGCCGCTGCCCATGGCCCCGCACGGCCCCGCACGGCCCCGCAGCGCCCCGGGCCGGGGGCCGCCGCCGCCTGGGAGCGGAGCGGAGCCCGGCTCAGCCCGGCCCGGCCCGGCCCGGCCCGGCACAGCGCTCCCAGAGCCCGGCTCAGCCCCGTCCTTACCTCCCGCGCCGCTCGGGGGCCGGGCTGCGTGACCACACCTTCCGCAGCACCAGCGCCGCGCCGGCCTCCTCCCGAGCCCGCTCGCCGCCGCCTCCATCCTCCGCCTGCCGTGACACAGAGAGAGAAAAGGGGGGGAGAGGAAAAAAAAAAAAAAAAAAAAAAGGAAAAAGAAAAAGGTCGCGGTCAGCGCCTGCCCGAGGGGCTCGGCCCCTATGGCAGGGATGGGGTTAACGGGGGGGGGTCCCTTTGGGGCAGCGCCCTGCACTGGTTCCCAGGGGGATGTGGGGTTTCAGTGTCCCCGGGGTGGGGTAAATTGAATTTTCCAGCGGCCAAATGCAGCGGGGAAAAGGAGCCCGAGGGCTGCCCGGCGCTCCGGTGCCGGCTGGGTGCGTTCAGCACAGCTTCCCTCCCGCCCTGAAACAAAGGCAATAAAAGCGGTGGGGCAGGCACGCAACAAAAGCCCCTTTCCAAACGCTTCGTGGGCAACCCTCCCTCCTTCTTATAAGGCAACTTTTTAACTCGGGGACCAGCCGCCCGGCAGCAGGGCCCGCTGAGGCTCGGCTGAGGGCATTCGCCCCTTCTGCCCCCAGCACCCAAAGGCAGCTGACCCTGCCGAGCAGGAGGCTGCTGCTGCATGTGTGTGTCAAATGCACAGTACCCAGCAGCAACGAAGACTGGGAGTAGCCTAAAATTTTCTGAGGAACACATCTCGGCAGCACAAGGGAGAGAAACTCCTTTACGGTCCCCCCTTCGATTATTTTATTTCTGAGACCCGGTTTAGTCTGACTGCCACCTCTGGTTGTCAGTGGGTGCAGGCACGTCCAAAGATGCAGCCCCTGCCCTGAAGAAGTTTTCTTTATCAGTAAACAACATGTAGAATTGATCTATTAAATTTCTGCAAGGTCAGACGTACAGGTACCGAGCCAATTAATGTCAGATATTCATTGTAACACTCCCAGGGGACAGTACTGAGAAGACACGGTACAGGAATACTGATGCATAATTGTAATCTTCCATTTCACCAGCCCTGTTTTTTTTTGTTGTTGTTGCCTACATATATGAAAAGCTGCAATGAAAGAGGCGACGAAAGAGAAGGAGCATGAGAACAAGAATCAGGCAAAGCATGAAAGCCACTCAGTAACAAGGGGGTTTATACAAACATACATCTCTCCATTTCTCTCTGTCTCTCCTCTGGCATCCTCTAAGACAGCCCTGATACTCATCTCCCTGTGCTCACTGACATGGCAAACTACAGCATATATGGGGCATGCATGTGATGGATGGCGCTGTGTTCGTACAAAGCATCTATATGGGAACGGGTTTTAAGCGTATCCATATACATTTACATACAGGAGCAGCTGGCAGCAAGTCAACAGTGAGCACAGGGAGAACGAAAGCTATATTGTAATGAAAGGACATTAACAATGGTCTGTTCTGGAAGACAGTGTTCCTGCTTTAACATCCCACCAAGCAGAATTATTTCCAAAAAAAAAAAACCCTCTTGGATAACTGTATGCAAATTAACTGCATACAGCACCCCGATGGTGAGATTCTCATAAGGCTCTTCTTTTTGTCCTTTCATCATTTTCAAGGAAGAGTAGAAAACAACCCCTTTTATCAGGAAGGACAAAAAGTGTGCAAAACTAAGGCCAATCAGGTTCGATTTGGATTTTCATTACCTATAATAATTATTTCCATAAAAGGGGAGGGATAGGGAATTTCTTTATTTGGCTATCATCTGTTATAAATAATTTCACTTTAAGGAAAGAATTATTGCTTCATTAAAACCCTACTTATGCATGACATAATTTTGTGTTCAGCCAGGCCCTTTAATCATACTGCAAGCAACAACAATTAACCTGAACAAAGCAAAGCACAAAGACAAGTGCTATGTATTCTCCCAGTTTTACAAGTTCTGATTTCACTACCGATATTATTCTGAAATGACATAATGGCATGCTTCATTTATTGGAATCCTGAATGGTTTGTGAAATAATTAATTCTTGCTGGAATACAACCAGGCTGTTCTCAGCGTGCTCCATCTACAGCCAGTGGCAGATGAGGACGAGGATGCCAGGGGCCCCCAAGTGACAGCAGCATGTATTGAAGAGCAAGGCAGCACCCTAGCTGAGTCCCTAAAAGTCAGCACGCTGACTCAAGTGACATTTTCATCATACTGTCAATTAACAATGAAACCTGCCAGCACTTTTCCAGACCATTACACAGCCTTAAGAAGCCTGCACCAGCCTCGAAGGAGCAGAGCAGCTCAGGGTTGCCATCTCTCCCCCTTTATGGATGGGAAGATGAGAGGCCACCCCAGGGCACTGCTGTAGATCAGTGGCAGAATCACAGCTCAGGCTCAGGTGGGTGACACTGGCACCTCATCCCAGAGCCTCCTGATGCTGCCTACTTGGCATTTACTTTACTTTGTATTTGTATGTTTACATTTGTGGGTTTGCAGAGGCACATCAGTAGGGTGAAGAACACCAGAGGTGTTGTAGAGGTTAATCGTTGTCTCCCTCCGTACGTGGCCTTGAGCAAGTCACTTGCCCAGACTCTCCCATACCTCAGTTTTCTCTTCAGAAGCACCATTTGCTCCTACGCTACACACATGCTCGGAATGTTTATTTCACATTTATTACAGCTTTTAATTAATCATCTCACCTCTTGATAGCTAAACACAGCACTATCAACCTCTACACTACTTACTGGCAGGCGCTTTGAGCAAGCAGGAAGGCCCTCTGGACTTGGCAGATCTTTTGACCACTATTACGGTCAAGTTTCCAGTGCTCTCATCTATCTTTCTCCTACGGAGATAGGCCATTTATCTCCCGGGTAATATATTTTAGCAGCAGACAAGCACTACCTTTTTTTTTTCAGCATGAAAGGAAGCCTGGGGTGGTATAAATATTTATATGCTTACTGGAATGAGACACTGGGACTCCTTGCTTAGCGGGCCTTAACTTGTGCAGGTTACGCTTTGCACGGGTAGGAATATGACCCTCTGAATTACCACTGAAGTAGAAGAAAGCAGAGGTACCTATGACAGCGTTGCAAATAGCCTTGGCGTGCCAGTTTCATTAAGGAAAACACTTGACTTCTGCTTTTTCTGCTATTGGCATGGAAGAACCTGATCTGTGGCCAGTGCAGCCAATAACTTGGATATCAGTCAAGGACATTTCCGTGTCTCTTAAATTCCTTAGTTTGGACTTGCAATTAATTGAAACAGGAGCCAACACAGAGAATGTGCTGCCTCTAGCTACTAGAAACATCCACTGCTAGAAATAGAGTTGAAAAGCTACCGTACGTCCTAACAGCTCTTGGCAGCCCACTCCTTCTTAAAAAGAACAGTGCTCTGCAATGGACACGGGCTGTTCAGAAGCCTGCTCCTTTGAGTAGAAATTTCATTTTCACATAACTCCTCCACGGAACAGGACATCTGTGCAAATATTTTATTAATTTTAGCCATTAATGAAGCACCTGCTATATTGAAACACCACCAGCTAGCAAGGCAAAATACGCACTTCCCAATGACATAACTTCAGTATCTGTACACCTGCTTTTTAAATAAAAGGACCTGATCCAAGTCTACCCAGGCCCAGAGAGTCTCTCACATTGTTGATTTTACTGGGTAAAGTAACACAGAAATTAAGAGAGAAAACTGAATAAAGGCATCTGTAAAATTAATGGAACACCAAAAATCTAGCCTGCGTACAAGATTTTCCTGCTGCCAAACAAGGGAGCAAAAGCAAAGAGAAGAATCTTTGAGCAATAAGCAACAAAGCAAACTTTACACAGACTATCTGCTTCAAAATCACATTAAATAACAGATACTGCCTTCTCAAGGAGGGCAAGAACATTTTGTTTTCATAGCACAGTTTGGTAAAACTGACTCAACGCAATCAGATAATGCTGATCACTTCTGCCTCTTTTCTTTTGATGCTGGTGCCTGGGCATGCCCTTGAGAGGCACAGGAAAAGTCTAACATGAAGGATTCCTGGGGCTGTTTGTGTTCTGAAGAGGAGTCCCCGCTCATTGAACCCATGCAGCTTCCCTGCACACAAGTCCCATGGCCACATGGAAATATTTCTGTGTAAGACATGTGAAATGCAAGGGATGTTGGAAGGGGCTTGGAAACACAAGGATAAAGAAGATTCCACTGAGATGCAGGGAAACTGCTCAAGTAGGTGAAAAAGCAGGACAAAAGCCATCAAATAACAAGATCCTCATGTCAACAGACTGATACTTTTCATGGACAGTTAGAGTTTTGCTTAGTTGTTGTAATCAATCCCTGGCACATATTACCCATTCAAAAAAGGAGTTACAAGAGCACAGTCAAGAAAAAAAAAAAAAAAAAAAGAAAGAAAAAAAGGAAAAAGAAAAAAACACTCTGCCCTGTTCCACAATACAGCTCTGCTTTGTTTCGCCTGAGTCAAAGCTCAGACAAAATGCCTGTACAAACTGTGAAATGCCTGTACAAACTGTGTTTTTTGGCCTCTGACTTGGCCAGTTGGGGTGGATATTCATGAAGATGGCAAAACCACCACCACAAAACACCACCAAAGACTATTCCCCAAAGGGATTTCAAATCCCTCTTCAGAAGTACAAGGGCATAAGAGCTTTTCAGAGAAACTTCAGCCTTTTTTTTTTTAAGCACAGCAAAATGGTATTTACATCTAACTTCACTCTTAGCAGCCGCTGAACCATGTTGGCTACATTTTTTCATTAAAATCTGAGGCAGACACCTTTCAGAACAAGCAGATAAGGCTTGACAATCTCATACACAACTGAAAATGGATTTTCACAATGTGAGGCATTTGCAAATGCTAGTAGTACACCACAATGAAATTAGTCCTAGCTATAAGATACGAACATATTTACATTACCTACATAAAGTCCAAAAAAAAAAAAAAAAAAAAAAACCAAAAAAACATCCTATTAACAGTTTCTCCTATAAGAGACACTCTTAGAGATGATTGCCTGCTTACACTTTGCTATGTTTTTCCCTTGAATCTCTTATTGTGGAGAGTGCAGATTTAGATTTAAAGTCACCAAAGTACAAATAGATGTACAAAAATGGCCCTATTCTTTACAGGATATCCCT